GTTAGGAGCCGCGTCAGGTGGCTGAATGGTGAATACGGGCAGAGGATATGGCATATTCACCATTCTGCCACCTGACGCGGCTCGTAGCCCGAGAGTCTTTCATCAATTAATTGGGTATACTTCACGAAACAAAAATGCTTCTGAAGTACGTCTATATGTTTCTCTTTAGATAAAACCGTCTGTCTACATTACGATTCAAATGCGGAAACTTGAAATCGGAATTCCAGCAAACAATGTAGAACAGAAAAATAAAAGAAATACCTCCTTTCCTCTCATTTCTACAACACAAATAATCCAGTGATAATGTGAATGATAATACTCACGATTACTTTTTGCTCGTAAACAAAAGGTTATTGCGATGTGCATGCTTTACAGACAAAACAATAATTGGATATTCTATTCTGAAACTCATAATCTACATATTTCAGTATCAATTTCCAGTTGCTCTTGGTATGACTTTAGCACACAAATTTTGGAAAGATATGGTTGAACAACACACAGATGGTGCAGTTTGAATGAGTATTTGTGTGAAAACTAGACATTTTAAAAATGGGTCATTTTGAACTCCTGTTTGGTGTTCGCATAAATGCCCGTTTGTTAGGATACCAACTGGGCTATCATGGGATGTAGATGACTGGTTGAAGCACACTGCTTATCCTAGTTTTGCTCCTGAATGCAGCTGGGAAAGATCTTATCAATAATTTACATTCTTCAACTTAGGCAGACATATTGGTGTCTTTGGTTAATAGATATCTGGCATAAATAACTGCAACAAATGGTCATTTGGGCTTAAACTTTACTTGGAGATCTATATATTAAGTTTTATTGGCATCTCCTCACGGAAAGTACATCTAAAACTATACAGATAAATCTTACAATTTGCTTTACCGTCATACATAAGAAAATTAACGTCAGCTAATATAAGTTTAACTATACTGATATTACAACGAACAGCAGGAAGATATAAAACCATTTCAGTTACCTGATTCTATAAACAGTGATCTCATCTTCGTCTGTAGAGAAGTAATCTTCTCGATCTTGTCTTCTGAATCTCCTAATAATTGCATAGCTTGACATGTACAAAAGAAGCAACAACAACAGAAATATCTGTAAAAGAAAGAGAAAAATATTATAGGTATGATCTACGTTAAATGTGACACGATTACAGACGTCTCGAGCCTTTGAAGTACGACAAGAGAGGGATGACATGTAAAATACAACACCTGGCAAACGGAATGCATTTGACTGAAATGGGGTGGGCAGCAACCAACCCCAGGACCAAGACTGTCTTTGATCCAACATGATGATTCGTCCCACATTTTGAATGAAGTGTATACCTTCTAAGCACAAATTAAATGCATTGCCGCATTGTCTGTGGTACAAAAAACTTGACATAAAATAAAAAGGTTTCTCCCACTATACGCCATGTAGGCGTTTGGGGTGAGTGGAGGTATAGCTCCTCTCTTCCTTGACCTCGGCATGTGAAGACAAACACATTACCGCCATGAAATTATGAAAGTTACAAGGGTGGTTGAATGAAGACCATGACTTTTCTTTCTTACAAAATATACACCAGAATGACAAACTACCCTTCGCAGCAGAGAGTGACAACATTGCTCTCACTCCCAAGCACAGATGTGAACATTTGTTGCACTGGGGGGTGATTTGGAAATGAGATAAATTTAAGTGCATGATCTTATATCCACAGCGTGCATTAGTTCTGGAATCATTCATGAACACTCATTGTTCATGACAGTGTGTGCACCGTGGGTCCCAAAGACCAGACCAGAAGGCATGTGCTTCTGCTGACGATCTGAACCACACTTGTGACGAAACCAAAAACTAAATCCAGGCCTGGCATAAGACCGGACAAAGTAGCAGCTTACACTGTTGGGAAGTCTGCTGTAATAAATGTCAGCAGGATAATGCAGAAAAAATACTGAAAACCGGGGGTACAAGCAACAGAAACTTCATGAACACAAACAAGAGAGACTAGTACTATTATACAGTGACAAAAGTATATCCTGAATTTAAGACGTCACATCCTGGTCTCGACGTTGGGTTCCACAAATTCACAGCTCTGTGGCCTGAAAGCAGAGTGCTATAGTGCATCCAGATATAAGAGAGAAGCATTGCGCTTGTGGCCGCAGCATTCAAATATTTGCGACTTGCCCACTTTTTCATTTGGCAGAAGCAGAATTATCCATTCTGTCGAAAAACATAAATTAAACTTCAAGAAATCACCGTTAAAACACCGACACCTGCCAATTTTTCTTTGTGTTGTCACAATACTGCGCTCCAAATCGCCGTGTGCACAAGCCGTGCAACTGCAGTAGTGGCTGTTCCTTCTACCATACACTATCCCCCTAATTTTATAATGTATTTTTATTTTATATGATGAAACTTAAACAAACTCTTCACACTAGTAATGTACCACAAATTGCTTAAAGTACATTCTGATGAAACGCAGTCGTACTGCAACTCTCGGTTTTGTAAAATAAAACATATCCATAGGGGGTGAGAGAAATGGAAGTAAAAGCTCATAAGGACTCGCGCTTCACTCTTCAATCTGGATTGGAGCAAGTAGAACTCCCATTGTATGTGTGTGTACTCTTCAATAAGAATGTCAAACAGGTGCTTTCACTGTGCAAACTGGCTAATCTAATGAGAAATCTGATTACACAGCTCTGTACACACCATCACTGTTTGGCAATGATATGCAACCCTCCTCAACAGTGCTGTTTTCTCAATGCTGTACAGAATGTCGTGCAGCAGATAGATTACAAAAAAGTCTTTAAAATTGACTGTAAGAGAATGTTACTTTCAAGTGCTGTGATTTTGCTGAAACTTAATCCTTCATATAAAAAATTTGGCACAGGGATTCGACTTGAATAAAGCCCATGCAAATGTTAACCCTTTACGATTTACTTCCAAGAATCACCAACAGACAAACTGTCACACATAACCTTAATAAGAATAATTTCTGACCCGAAAGAATAACATTTTATGAGAAACTGAACGTCAAAGGCTACATCATGTGACAACGAAACCAAAACTGCTTTATCTGAATATCAGTTATATACAGAGGGGCCCAAAAAAAATGTATACACACTTCAACAAAACAAAAACCTTTATAAAAGGTTTAATACTAAACTTATACAGACATCAAGGGATGACTATAAGTCATGTTTGACTTCTACAATTACAACAGGTGCTCAAAGTGGTCACCATTAGTGTCCAGACACTTCTGATTTCGGCGAACTACTGCTTGAGCAACGTTGGCCAAAGTGTCCACTGGGATTGCTGCGCACGACATTTCAATTTCTTCCCGAAGTGCCGCCAGTGTAGCTGGTTTTCTACGATATACCACATCCTTTAGGGTCCCCCATAAGTAGAAGTCGAGGGGTGTTAAATCAGGAGAACGTGGGGGGGAACTCAACCGCACCTCTTCGTCCTATCCATTGTCCTGGCAATATTTCATCGAGGTAAGCTCTCACGTCTCGGTGGTAGTGTGTTGGTGCTCCATCTTGTTGCAAGTAAAATCGCTCATTCCCATAGAGTGCACGAATGGCAGGTAAAATGGATGTGCGAAGCATGTCGAGGTACACAAGGCCAGTAACAGTACCTTCAAAAAATAATGGTCCAATTAAACCCCTAGATGACAATCCACACCAGACATTGAGCCCCGGTAAATTGACTGCCTTGTCCACATGAACCTGCGGATTATCTGTAGCCCAATACACACAATTATGGCGATTCACTGTACCATTCGGCTTAAATTGTGCTTCATCAGACCAAACCATTTTCCCCACAAACTCCTCATCCCCATGTACCATGTATTGAAACCACTCACAATTATGCATTCTTCGATCAGGGTCGTCTTCATTCATTGCATGTAATAATCTTGGGATGTAAACTTTCCATTTTTCTCTCTTAAGAATGCGTTGTATATTTGATCTGCTAACTCCTGTCTCACGTGCACAGTTTGGCAGACTTTTGTGGCGAGCGTGTGAACTGTTCCAAAACACCGTAGCCGAGGAAGCAGGACTTGTTGCTGTGCGAGGCCTCCCGGATCTTTGCTTGTGCACATCACACACGGTACCATGGGTTTCAAACTTATCACGAATGCGTGCAATTGTCAGGCGTGTTGGAGGTTCTGTTGCAAACTCACGCCTCCATTGTCGTTGTACTCAAATTTAAAATACCACTTCAAAATTGTCTTGCGCTCCTCGAACGACAACCGTGCTTATGCCATTTTGTTTGACTGTCTTGTCGGTCGCTTGGTGACTCTAGCATTCATGTGATTAACGACATCTTTTGAGAGAACATCATACTACACATTGCTACCGTAATTCGATTCAACTTCGAAAACAGTCCATAGATAACATCTATTAAAGTGTGTATACATTACCATTTCATTAACTGTTACAAAAATTTCCTTTGACAATCAACAGTGCTACTGTTAAGTCAAATGCCCCATATGAGTTTGTAGCTTGTGCAAAACAAATTCATTATAAGTTTCAGTGGATGCAGCATGCCAAAAAGTGCATTTTTAATGATTTTTGCAACCCCACACAAAGGAAGCCCAAATTTTTCGTGAACACTTCTTCCTGTACAGTCTGAAATTTCACTTTTCTCTGACGATGTGCTAAAACATTAGAAACCAAATGGTGTGTAATGCAATTTATAAAAAAGTGAACTTTACCTGCGGCAAGCTTTAAACAGCTAATGATGACACAGAAACCTACACTCTTTTTTCATGCTATTTTCTAGTTCTGATGTGAAATAATAAACCTACAATTCAGTGGAGAGTGGAACCCTTTTCGTGTCTTGACACACAAATGAATAATTCTCTCAAAACAAAGTAAAATATCAGCTTCAGTGTGTCCCAAAATTTTTCCAGACTGATTTAATTACCCACGAAAGGCTGGCTCCATCCGTTGAGTTTGTTCCTGAGGGTGCAACTGTCAATGTAAACTATTAGTTGGAAGTTTTGAAGCAGTCAACGGCAAGAATTTTAAAAGTTTGCCCACAGTATCGAGAACAAGGCAGTTGGTCGCTCTCGCGTGACAGTGCCCCGGCTCACAAAGTCATCGTCGTTCACAAGTTTTTGACATCCAAAGGTGTCATAGTTCTTAATCGTCCCCTTTATTCACCCGATTTGTCACCCAGTGACTATTTTTTTTTGTTCCCCAAACTAAAATTTGAAATGAAAGGCATGCATTTTGATGACACTGAAGACATTCAAAAAGCTGTGGCCAACTTCCTGGAGGCTATCCCTAAGAAGGACTTTCAAAAATGCTTTGAAAAGTTTTATAATCATTGCAACAAGTGTATTGCTGCAGATGGAATGTATTTAGAATAACATGCAATAAAAAATCTAATTACTTGAAGATAAGTGTGTTTTTTAAATCAGTCTGGAAAATTTTGGGACACGCTGTGCACACCCACAAATACAATCTTGTGATTTTGTTGCACAATGATTTGTTTTTGTTTGATTTTTTCAGTGAATTCTCCAACAATACTTGTCATAGATACAATTTCAGTATGACCAACACAAGGCTGTCCTTGGGTTCGTGTGAGCACGGTGGCCACCGTGGGTCCGGGGCATCCACATTATAATGTCCTATCCACATCACAAGAGCTTCTTAAGTCTAACAGTCTAAAAATCTAATTCCACAATACGTCATTAAGTTGATCAATTATTTCTAAATATACACTGGTGAGCTGCTGTAATTTGACCTTGGTATAAAACTGCTTTATGAGACTCTTTATTCAGCTGATAACAGTCATATTCCTCGATATTAAGTATGGTTTTAGCTATATCCTTGCATCCAGAATGAAATAAAATTGGTTCAGTAGTACCAAAAACTGAAGGAAAAAAAAATCATATTGACACATGTTAGGAGCTTCTCTAGCACTCATATACCATTCCTGTATAATCAGAAAAAAAAAGCAATAATGCATAAATTACAAACAAAGAAGAGGTTATCTATGTTTCCATGTGCATTGCAGCTCAGAAAACTTTGCAACTGTAGGCCTCTATATTTTGATTTATGTCCGACCCTAATACATTTTCTTAATCAGACGTGAGTCAATATTTCATTTTGTGACCATCTGTGTTCCATGAAATTATCAATCCCCTATCTATTACAAATTCATAAAAGGTTTTATACAAGAGAGAGAGAGAGAGAGGATTCTGTACATGTAAGCAAGCAACTGTTTAATACCTGGGGCCAGTTAACTGGCCGCAACCTTTACCAGAACTCAGTCTAGCCGAGTTCTACACTGCAATTTAAAGGGGCACAGTATGTGTAAATGTTACTGAATTCAATTCTGATTAATTGCAAAACATTATCATTCTAACCAACCTCACCTAACCTAACCTAACCTCACTCACAAATACTCAACCCAAACTGTTAATATAGTGAACTTGATAAGCATATGGTAATGCAAGTGATACTGCAACAAAGATTTACTTATTCTACTGCACGTGTGCTGAGCTGGAAGGGCTATTTACAAGGATATATCATTGGAATGTATTGGCAAGTGGGTCGTATATATATCAGTGATCTACCCCAACATCTAGCCTCCAAGTAGGTGGATTACAGGAGTACGCCACCACTCCCAGAGGACCATTCTGAAGAGGAATAGTTTTCAGGTCTTAACAGTTGGTAAGATGACAGGGGGAAGCCTAGAGTAACCCACATCGGGCAGATGTGAATCGATAGCCGAAGTGAAGGCGACACGTCTAGGGGATGGTAACCTAGTATAATACCCTGCAGGTCTAGAGGCAGTGAAATGGCAACCCCATTACTAAACCTGCCTTGCACAGCGCTTGTAACAAGGCCAAGGAACATTCATATTACGGATAATCTTCAAAAGAATCTCAAACAGGATAGATCCAAATATGCTGACCCACTGGATAGAAGACTTAAATATTAATCCTTGATCCTTGAAGTCGGAACAGGCCTATGGCCTAAACCATGGTGTTGAAGATTAAAAGAGTATCTCCTCTCTCAATCATTCCCTCACTCACAGACATCAACCAAAAATTCTCGGTTTTTATAAATACATGTAAGAAACAGGGGTGACGCTTTCTTGTGTAATTATTTTTGCTATAATACTGTAGTTCACTGTCAAAACTATGCAATTTACACAGCAAAACCTCTCTAAGTTTGACATTTCCACGAAAATGTGTCCAAGACAAGAGTGAAAGGGAAAAATCATCCTTTCAGATTGTGGTGTAATGACAATGTAATTTATTTACTTACATAAACTAACCACTGTACACTTACTTGAATTAAGAATTGATGACGACAACTATAATAATAATAATCTTTTGAAACCCACTCCCATGCATTACACATTAGACTCCAGCCTCAGTTAAATTTTCTAAAATTAATTCCAACAATTTTCGCTTCCCCATCACAAAAGGAAAAGTCCCATTTCTGTTAACACAGTCTGAACTCAAATGGAAGCATAGCACTGATGGAGTTAAAACTGTATCTGCAATGCTGTGCTCCAGTGAAGGGTTCAACAAAAGAATAACTAAACACTTTCACTGCATTCCACCTTCAACCATAAGCTAATCCTCCAGATAGAAGGCATTCCTCAGTCAGATATTCAAAGCAACAAAATAACTGTATACATTTCCCTGAAAAGCACTGAAAGCCAAGTGAATGAACTTGTCAAACTTACAACAAATGGGGTGTCCAAGTTCCAGAGTAAAGGGGTATCCAATATATAGGGTATTGTGGACATGTAAAATTATAGGATATTCGCCGGTTCCAATTTAAAGTGTCCAAAATAAAGGGGTGTCCAACTTGAGGGTTTTACTGTATTTGGATAAGAAACTAGTATTGTATTTGTGCTAATGACATGTTCTACGTCCTTGACTTAGGGCTATGAAGGATCTATGGAATGCACATAAATTCTATTCTGTTCTATTTTTATATTCTCTAAAAACTTGCTTACTAAGGACGGCAAAGCAGCAGATAAAACTGTTTCCACGTCTTTTAGATGCATACGAAGTGTTACATTAATACATCGAACAGAAACAAATTTCTGTTACATTAAATAAAAAAACACAATACTGTATAAATGAAATGATTAACTTACAATATTTTCCCGAACGGTATTGTGAAATATCTGCTCCCTAATATCTGCATCATCTTCCATCTTCACCTATTCGTCAACATCTTCTGTGACAAATAGAATAACACAAGTAGCCACATTTTGCCTTCAAACGATGTCACCGATATAACAGACATTTAATATTAAACAATAATTGGCCATTCTTCAACACACAAACATGAGTATCGAGTAAAAAAAACACAAACCGTTTCCACTAACGATTGACATCCATTCCTCCTACGTGGTGTCGCGACCATACTACCAACATCGCGCTGAAGTACGGATACTTACACATTGTTGCCAATATACACAAATCCTACATGTGCATATGAGCTAGAAATATAGATAAATTGCTTCCTTAAACAGTTTTAATTGACAATTGTAGCGTATAAAGTATCCTTTTGAGGTTTAAATTGCTGCTGTAAAGCTAAAAAGGTATGAATCGCCAGAAATAGATCAAATTCCGGCAGCATTGATTCAAGCAGGAGCTGAAACCTTACGTTCTGAGTCCCATAACTGCTGTGGAATAAGGAAGAATTTGTCTCAGCAATAAAGGAAGTCTAAAATTGTACCAATTTACAAGAAGGGCGATACAACTCACTGTAGTAAATATCTAAGCATATCACTGTTATCAATTTCATATAAAATTTTATCCTCTCTCAAGGTTAAGTTCACACGTAGACGAAGTTATTACTAATCGTCAGTGGGGTTTTTGACGTAATAGATCAACTTCTAATCAGATTTTTTTATTAGTTAGATACTAGAGAAAAAAGTTGACAGTGGAACCACAGTTCCGGATAATCTGACGTAAATACGTCTCTGTAATGTAATGTAATAATTCTTATATAAGGTAAGTACTTGTGATATTCTGAAACGTTTATATCAGCACAAAATTATCTAATCTACGACTCACTTTTTCTACAAGCGATTCACAGCTCAGCTCTTTCCACAATAACGAAAGCGGATTGTTGACGGCAGTAATGTAACACAACAATGCCGAGTAAACAGATGATGCAACATTAGTTTCTTAGGTCACAACAATTCACGCAGGAGTTCATATAAAAGATGACCATTGTTGTCGGTTTATATTTACACATTGTTGATATGGATCTTACACAACTTCGTTACACTTTTTTGCCGAAT